TGGAGCCTGCAGGCTGGATTTCAGACCTGCCACAACGGGAAAGATTAAGCCTCACTGACCAAATTAAGAGTGAAGAGTGAATGTTATGAATGTGATCCCCATGGCTTTGTTCTTTTCTCTATTTATCCCTCTATTTTCCATCTCTCCGGTGCACTCTCATCGGATTTCTTTCAGAAAATCTCCTTAAAGCAGCACTTGGCAAGATTTTTATATATAAAAAAAAAAAATGCCAATCTGATCAGACTAAATCATGAAGAGCAGCCCATCCACACTAATGAGGAGCTGAAGATTTGGCCCCATTTTCTCCAATGAAATGCTGGTGGCTGGGTGGGAAGTCACTACAGGTCCTGAACTGCAGGTTAAGAACAAAATACATTTTCCTTTCCAGAGTAGTGAGTAAGCACCATATCCACGCAAAGCTGGACTCACCAGAAACAGCTGAGCCTCTGATGTCCCTCTTGAAAACATCCTCACTAGACAAAATGATCATTAGTTGTTGGTAACAGCTGAGGTCAGCCGTCACTAACAATGTCAAACATGTATTTTTGAAATTAGTTGTAGAGATATTTACTGTTTATTGCCTCCCTCCTCCTTTTCCCGTGAGTTCTGACTGCATATGAGTCATTAAGACATCAAGACAAGTAAATTAGCCACAGCTCGTCCAGCTGATTTGTTCGTGAATGTCAGGCGTCATTTTCTTCTGAATGCAGCAACACAGCAACACAGAGCGAGCACAGTTTGTCAGTCTGTGTTGCTGCATTAGCCCCAATGCATTAGCCCCAATGAATTATAATAGTTTTTTAATATAATTGAGAGCATGAGATCGAGCATGGTTGTGGTTCTGTGATGAAACTTTCATGAATTTGAACATGGCTCACAGCAGATAGACGAGCTCACCAGCACCTGCACGGTTTTAAACTTTTATTTTCCTTTATTGTTATTTTCTATTATTTTTTTCTTGACGGTTGTGATGGCCTATAGCAGAAACGCATTCGGTCTTTGCCCCACATCAAACAAAAAGACTATTTATCCTTTTGTTCTGTTTAGATAGCAATGATCGTGCACCTGATACATCGCTGGAGTATTTGGGGTTGTGCGCGCTGCTACTGTCTACTATATTTATTTTTATCATGCCATATCATTCTATTAATTAAAAAGATCTAAAATGTCTGTTTGAAATCAGAGAAAAAAAAATGTGATTACAAGTCAAGTCCAATTTCAACATTCAAGTAGACTTTCTGTAGAGTCAGGCTCTTTATGTGCATGCGTTCACAAGAGAGACAGAGAGAAAATGAACATATTATTTGAACATATTATTTTGACCATCTGGCAAAAAATGTCCCTACTAAAGATAAAGCCAAACCTACGCCCTCACATCCACCCATCAGTCAGGACCTCTCCAACAAGAGGTCTGGCTCTCTCTGCTTCAGCAAATCTTCTTAGGGTCTAAAGAGCAACTGACACAATGACTCTCTCTTCATGTTGTTCTCTTCTCCTCTATCTCTCCTCTTGTTTCATATTTCTCTCCTTCTTCACTAAGATTCCTTGATTCCTTTCCTCTCTTAAACCTGTCCATATCATAATGACTTCATTAGCTCGACTCTTTGTTAGCAACAGTATTCCCAAAGGAGTGAAGCCTACATGTTCTCTGTCTCTCTCTGTCACCTATTTGCCCCATCCGTCTCCACGGTGACAGAGAAACTGATATCTATGCCTCCCTCTGCAGGGATCGCTTTACATGGTGCATTGTTGCAGTTGTAATTTCACCTGTGCCAAGAAAACATAAGAGGTGTTCATTAGAAATAACATCATTCATTTGATATTGACTCTAGGATTTTACTTAAAGGTTCTATATTTTACACTTTTCTGTGTTTTATTTGAAGTGTTGATCCATAAGGAGATATATTTGTGGTTTTAAAAGCCAAAAATCATCTCACTGTAGTTTTACATCTCCTCTCTCAGGCTTCTCTCTGGAGCTCTAGTAACAACAGGTCGATGAGCCAATCAAAAGAGAGGAGGCTCTAACCCTCTCTTCTGATTGGCCCACTGTTTTCTGAGTGATCAAATAATAATATAGCAGATTTCAGTTAAACACTTAGAGAAACCAAATCCTGAAAGGTTGGATTGTGGGTCCAGATGGGCGGGGTTTGGGGCATGGCTGAGAGCAGTGACTGCTTTGTTGTGACATCACAAAGTAACAAAAGTCCTGGCGGCTTGTTTTAATGCTTGGTGTCTGAATACAGGCTGTATGCATTTCTCTGTGGACTTAATGCTTTGTTAGTTTCACAGTATTAATATAGAAGCTAGACCTGCTTTATAATTAAAAAACACATGGAAATCTCACTTTATACAATGTGGGACCTTTAAAATCGGGGAGCAGATTTTTTCAACCTATCTTTATTTCCAAAGCTAATCATCTTGTTTCAGGGAATCTGCCTCAAATTTAGTTGTAGGATGTATATACTTATTTATTTTTTAAATGTGACATAATGTCCACTCTAACAGGAGCTGTAAATAAAAACTCAACTAAAATCAGTAAGAGCTTTATATCACCACTATCTTTATCTGATGTTCTACAGGTTCACTGTTTTCATATATGGAAGATTTAAAATGCAACTGCAAATGCAATTTTTTGCAAAATGCAAAAATGCACAAAAAGAAAATACATGCTCTATAATAATGTGTTTTGTAGTTCACTTTATTTCTTCGTTTTGTTATAATTAAAGTGTTTGAAATCACCAAAACAAACATTCAGTTTCAGAGGGAAAAACGGATTAAACAAGCAGGACACTTCTAAAAATGTGACTTTGAATCTGCACCAGGGAACTTTCCAAGTTGGTGGCCCCAAATGACAGCAAGCCTGAGGCAACTATTTGAATGCTGGGGACTTCAATACCCAGAAGTCATGCACCATGAGATTAGTTAGACCAAGTTTCTTTTTTGTAGCAGGAGTCCAGCAGATGCAGAGGTAGTGAAGAGGTTCAGCTGTCACAGATTACTCCGGACAGAACATTCGCTCAATTTTGGGTTTGACTTTTCACTTACATTTAATTGCATCACTTCCTGTGCATGGGGAAATATTCTAGTTAGTGACAATTGTGGCACCCAAACAATGGTACTAATTAGTAGGAATGTCATGCTGAAGCAGGCTAATGCAGTATGCATGGTGCATAGTTAGTGTGCAGATTTACTCTATTTTTGAAGTGCAATGTAATCAGTGAAGTGTTTGGGTAAATGTACCATCAATTTTTAAAACGTAGGCCTTCACCTGCCATATTTCTGATGAACACACACCCACATGCATACACACTTAACCAAAAGGTACATGACACTCATCAAACACTACTCAGGTACACCTTTCCTCCATGTTGGATTTGTTCATAAGGAATATAATTAGAGGGGAAGAGACTGACAGACAAAGAGAAATCCTGTCTGGAGGAGAGGTGGAGAGGTTGTAGATGAGAGAGAATATGGGGACATCAGGGGAGAGTGAGTGTGTGTATCACCTCCCTGCGATATTCATCTTCTTCTATACTATCTCTGTCTCTCATGTTTGCTGCAATGGACATAAGTAAAAGGGGAGATGTGTATTTTCTGTTGACTTAAAACATGATCCACTTCATCTTAGGTATTTATTTGGGTAAACAGAAATGAAGTAAATGAGATTTAACAAACACTGTCTCTGTCTAACATGTGCAGTACTTTCGACATCATTTGAAAGTGGCTATAACAGAAAAAAAAATGTTAACAGAAACATGAAAAAAAAATGTATTTCACATATGTTCCCACAGAGCCGATCTGTTTTGACTCTGCTGCCCCCTTCTGGTCATAAATACACACTACATTCTCGTCTGCCAATGAGCCCTTAGTAGTTCATTTCAGGCCACTACAGATAAGATGAGTCCACAAGCTTCTTCTTTGTTCTTTATTTTATTTAGCTTATAGTTTAACCTTGAACTGAGGTGCTGAATGCAGAAATCAACTCAGTGTTCATGTTATTAGAGATACTAATGAGCTGAATCCATTATTCCTTATTGGTTTTCCCTATGATCAATGGACCAGTGATAAAGAAGAAGATCACATCCATAAGGAGATACTACTATTACACCTTGTCTATTACTATGATGTGTGATAACATGCTTCATGAGAAATTTGTGCGACCCACCGTTAAGGTCATTTCTACTGTGCCTGTAGTGAGGTAAATAAATAGAGAGGTGATTATTTTGACCCTTAATCATCTCTGCAACGGTTAATATCAGTTAACAGCATCACCACCTCAGATATTTCCCTTTGTCTTTGCCTTTTTTACATTTGCATTTGAGCCCCAAATGAGTTCTTATCTTTTTTTAAAATTTTTGCTCTCGTATCAGCGTCACATATCAACGTCACTTATAATTCCCTCAGATCAAATGTTTTAGAGATGGAAAAAAAAAAAAAGCTGTTGTACAGAGAGCTCATTGCTCGGCCGGTCAGTAACGGCGTCTCAGAAGATGTGTACTAAAAAATGTCTGCATGGATGTTCTCCAAACTCTGGTTGGTAGGAGCAGAGTCAGGAAAGAATTTCATAATGACAAATAAGCTTAAGATCTTTTTCCCCCAATTCCTTTCAAAGACAATTGTTGAAAAATGTTAATTGTTATGTGTGTTTTATGTTGTGCATTTCACACTCAGCTTTGTGTTTGGATTATTCCTGCAAGAGTTTCAGTGCTAAGTAGAGAGAATTGTGTTTGGATATGGATGATGTTGTTATCAGTTGTGGCTTGTCAAATGTCCTTACCACTGTTCATTTTTACAGGTCATATACTTATCTATATGTGTGTTTGGGACAATTTTGCATGACCTATAAAGTGTCTAGTGTTATTGAAAGCCACATACAGTATATACCGTGTCGGCTTTGCAAGTTTTCAGTGCCGTTCTTTCATAAAAGTGGACAATAAGATGGTCAGGTTTGCAGAAGGCTCATACTGACAGTTTTCTTTTCTCCACCTTTCTCTACTCAGGCATTTTAGCCCAGATCCAGATGCCCCAGACCAGTATGGATGTGATCAAGGGTCAGATAGTGGTGCTGAGGGCCTCATACAGCACACAGCCAGGCACTGACCTGAGCACCAACACTATTCTGTGGAACTTTGTCTCTAACAGCACCCAGCTGGTGAGGAAGTGAGGGGGGGACCCTACTAACAGTCATATATGGAACCATTGAAGTGATATCTACAGTATATCTACAGCACACCAGTAAAATCTTTTTACTTAGCCATCTGTGGCTATGATATCTGGGATTACCGTTATGAAGGATGTTTGCTTGTTCTTATACTGTTAATCTGGCAAAGCTCTTCTTTTGTAAACCCTTAGAAATTAATCCAAGACAAACAAGGCTTAAAGCTTTCATACAAGCACTGTAATATTTCTTTACTGCTTTACTCTAGCAACTGTGCATGTGTTTGTTTTATAACATTAAGGCTAGGGTAGATGTGCTTTACAAATCAGATTATTTGTGAAATCGCTGTTGCAGTAAAACATTAAATGAAGCAGAGGAATTTTGCATAACAAGCCCAGCTGAACAGCCCCCTCCTCAACCTCAACCCCTCCTATATTGTGTTTTTACACGTTGTCTGGGGACCTGGCTGTGGCTCAGTTTACGTATCTGCCTGGGTCAGATTATTGAGCTGTACAGATGGACGACCCAAAAGAGGATCACAATCAAAAAGAAAACAGGGGAACAGAGAACTCAGAGAGTTGGAAAAGACACAGTTGATTAAAAGTGAGGCTTTTTTTTTTTGCCTGGACAGCCGTCCACTGTCTCACTCTGCTTCACCTTAATTCGGAGCCAAAGAGACAAATAAAAAGAACAAAATCTCCCTGCTTCAAAGCTCTCCCACAATCTCTGTAGAGAGTACAGCCAGATAAGTATGGTACACAGTTCAGCACCTAATGTGAGGTAATCACGTCCAAGTTTGAGGTCTGTTCAATGGTACTTACTAATATGGAGAAAATCATAGTTTTTTTTATGAAAGCTAAATAATTTTCTAAGTCAAATGGGCACTGTTTTTAGCAGACATCACAAAAAACTGGTGGAAATACTGCATTTGTTGGGGACTACTTTCAGCTGTGGATTAATACCAAGTGGCAACCTTTGGGGCTGAAAAATGAAGCCAACACTTAAGTGCAAAAAGCTGCAGTTCCTCAAATCACCACTTGAGGCTGACTCCAAAAGTGAGTCAATCCCCTTAAACTCTCATGTTAAAATGTCCAACTTTAAACGCCCCACCTCTTTGCCTATTTTGGGAGTTAGGGGTGGAGTCAGACACTGCCAAGATGGTGATGACGGAGCAGCCCACTCTGAGCTTCAAAACCTGCTCTTCAGAAACCTATGGGTGATGTCACAGAGGTTACGTCCATCTATATATACAGTCTATGATTAATACACATTTGAAATAAAAACCTCTATGGGATTTGCCTCAGCTGCTGGTTAGTATTCAGGGGACTAACGACTGCAGTGTGTATGAGAGTAAATATTCAAAAAACAATCACAAGTATGAGATCTCACTAGTTTGCATTTATTTTCTGCCTAAACCCTGATCCAGCATCACATCAGTGTCACATTGTGTCACATCACATCTTCCTAAAATCCAACCTAAAACGGGTAATACAGTACAAGTCTTTTAAATCCCAGGTCGATGGATTCTGTGAGAAGACTTTATCAGTCCAAATGTTCGAGAAATGCCAATCACAATTTCCTGGACAAGAGATGTTAGGATTTAAAATCCCTCTGATTCTTTTGACCCAGGATAACTGGCAAATGCAATCATATTGACATGAATCTCAATGAAACTGGTTCCTCTTCTTGTTGTTAAAGTTTTGTGCTTTTATTTTCTGTTTCTTTACGTCTGACACTGGCTCCCTTTTCTCTCGTCCAGATCATCGCCTACACCAAAGGTACCATGAGTGTGGGGAGTTTCCATTTTAAGGGCCGGGTTGGTTTCACCACCAGCATGCCTTCACGGGACGTGTCACTGTACATCAACAACACACGGGAGTCTGACTCAGGTCGCTACCTCTGCCAGGTCATCATTCCTGATGGCCCCGGCCTCACTGCCGAGCTCAGTCTGGATGTAAAGGGTAAGATAAAGATTCTGCTTATGACAAAGACTAAATTACACACAATATGTTGTATGATCTAACAAAATTAACATTTTATAATCCTCTCACCTCCCTTCAGTCCCTCCTTCTGTTCCTAAGTGCTCTCTATCAGGAAAGCCGGTGCTGAAAGGAAATGTGACTCTGAGCTGCAAGTCCAGCTCTGGGAAACCCCTTCCCATGTACAAGTGGAGGAAAACCAGTCCCACGTCTGAGGTCTTCTTTTCACCCATGCTCAGTGAGTAAAAAAAATCTTCACTTGGAAGATTTGGTCCATCTCAAAAGGGTATAGGCTAATTTTAAAGGAATTGTTTTTTGTTTTTGTTTTTTTGTTTTGTGTGTGTGTGTGTGTGTGTGTGTGTGTGTGTGTGTGTGTGTGTGTGCTCCTTTGATGTGTGTTATACAAGATATGGCTTGTAATATTAAGTAAAAACTAGTGTTCTTTTTTTATTTATATTTCAGTACTTGTTTATTGTGTTCCCAAACTTCATGTTTCTTTCATTTTTCAATGCAGTGCTGAATAATATATAATAAAATACATATATAATAATATAACACATCTCCTTCTGCCTTTGTGAAAATATATTTGGCATCATCAATCACATAGCTCACATTTAAGTTCATTTCCATGCATACAAAATTGAGATTGGTTAAATTACCTACTTAATAAAGTTAGATACTAAGACAGCTTATTGGAGACTGTTCCTCCAGGGACTCTCACATAGTTGACATAGTCTTGTTCATAGTCCTTTGGATGACATCAAAACCAACACTAAAAGAAGAAGATGGGAAGATATAATTCTATAAAAAAGATAAAACAAAGTATATGCAATGTCCACAGTCTAATGTGTCAAAGAAATGGAAGCATCAGTAGTTTGTGCATGCACCCAAATGCAAGCAGAAACACTGATAACGGAGTAAATTGCCCACACAGTGTGCATGTACAGTGGTTTCAGGAAGTATTCAGAACCCTTCGCTTTTTGCACACTTCATTGTGTTGTAGATTGTGTCCTTGACTGTAGTCCTCCATGTTCAATGCTGTTCTAGATGAGAAGACTGGCACTCTGAAGCTGAGCAACCTGAGCAGCAACATGTCGGGGAAGTACGTGTGCACAGCCAGCAACTCGGCCGGCTCAGAGAGCTGCTTCATCAACCTGGAGATCATCAGCTGTATGTACCACGCAACAACACAAACAACTATCGTGTTCATAAAAATCAGGAAGTTATATTGTTTGCCATCCCCAATAACAATACAGTTTGAATGTTATGTAGATTTGCAGCTTGTGCTTTTGGTGACATGTAATCCTTGTGTGTTCTCTGATAACAGCCACCAATGCTGGTATGATCGCTGGAGCGACAGTGGGCTCAGTGATCGGCTTCATCTTCCTCCTCCTCATCTGCCTCGTTTTCGTGGTGAAGAGGCGACGGGACAGCGAGGACGACATCGCCAACGAAATCAAGTGAGTTCATGTGGTCACAGCAGCTATAAAGCTAAAATGACATTAACTGTGGTTATGCTCTGGTGGCTAAATGAGCTTGAACAGAGATGTTTGTAAGTTCTGTGGTTGACTGTTGGTTTAGTTTTCTTGAAGCCATTATCAATTTACAGGATTTACATCTTGTACAAATTATAAATCAGAGCTGTATACGGGACAGTATAAGTTCTTAAACAGTGAATTGTGTTTCATATTAGGGTTTTCAACCAGTACTGTACATTATTTGTATATAGATAGATGGATGGATAGATAGATAGATAGATAGATAGATAGATAGATAGATAGATAGATAGATAGATAGATAGATAGATAGATAGATAGATAGATAGATAGATAGATAGATAGATACTTTATTTATCCCCTAGGGGAAATTCATGTATGCACTCACGTATAGTGGTGGCTGGATCTCTGCCGTCCATAAATCCCTGGAGAAATAATAGAAGAAGGCCCTAACAGGTTCATTATGAGCTCAGATCTTGGCTCACAGGCATCAGATTCAGATTTTTTTGTCCAGTTATCAAAGTTATCCGGCTGCTTGTTGTCTCTACGGTGTGAACAGGAGCAGATTTGACATGTTAATAAATAAGCTAAAGGCTAAAAGTTTTATCTCATGATCTGATATTGAAGCCTGAAGTTAGGGACTGTGTTTGCAAAATGACCAAGGGAGCCTTTCAGATTTAATTAATGCATTTCTATAGCTAAACTCCTGTGTCCTCTCTACCCCCAGGGAGGACGCTCAGGCACCCAAGCGTGTGTCCTGGGCTAAGAGTGGCATGGGTTCGGACATCATCTCCAAGAACGGCACCCTGTCATCTATCGCCTCCAGCCCACACCACAAAGAGCCCTCCCACAACCACAACAACCACCACCACCTGCAGCAGTACCCCCAACGCCCACCCTCAGACACCGCCTCCATCATCACTGCCACCGGCAGCATGGCCGGCTACCGGCCGTCCCGTCATCACGGAGCCTCCACCCCCACCCACTACAGCTACAACAACAATACCACCCTGCCACGCGGACAGACCGTCTCCTCCGAGGCCAGCACCAATGGGAGCTCCCTACCCAGACCAGAGCGCTACACCCAGCTGCCCCAGGCCCAGGCGCTGCCACAGACCTACAGCCAGCCTCAGCTACAGCTCCAGGCCACTCCCTCCCCACCACTGCTGCCCACCTCCGGTGTAACCACCTCCAACATCACCCGTATGGGAGGGGTGCCCATTATGGTGCCTGCACAGAACCAGGCTGGATCTCTGGTGTAATGCCAGCCAGTGTTTGCAAAACAGTGCTGTTGACAAAAAGAACAGTGAATACTGTCCCTTTACTCTCTGAAAGGGTCAGCTGCTGATTTTTTTTTAAGGGAACACATTAACTTCTATTTAGCAAAGAAATACAATAGATGAAAATGTCAAATTCACTTATGCTTTTGAATCAAGAAGCTTTCATGGCAAGACTTTCAGACACAGACTGTTTACTTGCTTTAAGTATATTTAAATCTTTTATATTCTGTATGCACTGTATACATTGCAAACTGTGTATAGACATGATTTTCATACATCTGTCCAGTATCCTTTTTTCTACTTTATCAATGCATTTCTAATGTTTATTTTTTTCAAATGTATCTTTTAAAATGTTTCATCCAGAAACCTTATTGTTTTCCTCCTGCCATACTAATGACACAGAGTGAGCAGCAACCGAATCATCACTGGAGGCTTGGTGATGCAGGTCTGCTGTGCGCTGTCATCTCTACTTCTACAACTACCTAAAGGAGGACTCATCAAGACCAAAATAGGAGCAAGCACAAAGGGAAGTTAGTTAAATTGGGTGTAATATATGAAGATCTATGTTCTAATGGCTATGTTTCTGGAGCAGACTTTTGGAAAGAAAGATAAGACAACATTATACATATAATGAAAAAGTTTGGCATTTCAAAAATATCCTAATCCTTTTTTGGCTTCATTTCTGTCAGTGGTTCAGCTTATAAAATGCTCTTAGACTCAATTCTTCAAACGCAGATTAGCAAAAGCTTCTTATAATATTGAGCACTATTCAGAACTGCAGTGTGACGACTTTGCTAATACGTCCACAACTCTGGGTTGTAATAATTTAAAAGTTGCCTGCAGCATTGAAATTGTAAATATGATATTTATTTTCTGTTAAATGTGTATGAGACAGCAGAGCATATTGTTGCCCACAGCTTTTATGGAACATGTGATAAAGGTGATATGTCTGCCTGCAACACTGGATACTGAACCAAAGACATACAGGATGTATCACTTCATTATGTCAACATGCTCTCTTTATATGTTGTAGTTTGTTTTCAAGGGTCAGTAGGGACACAAGCGTTTTTTCACTGCCATAACCTACAGGCTCTCTGCTTTTTAGACAAAGCTTCTCTCCCATTTGATTGACAACAAAAAGCTGATATGAGAAGACTAACGTGAAGGTGCCTAGTTAGTTAGTGATCTTGTACCATTTCCTGTCATGAGAGGATGGGGGAGACACACTGGGGTGAGATCTTTATTGCAGAGCCCTAATGCAACCGAATGGCTCCAGCCTGAACACATTTACTTTGAATGTTTCCAGAGCGTAACATGAACAAATCAATTTTATTACACAACTTGGGCATTGAGATCTGGCCACTTTAAAGTCACACAAATACCCATTGAATATCATTTGTGTCTGAAAAGAAAAAAAAGTACACACACACATATATATATATATATGTATCATGATAGTGATCTACATCCCCATCATATGCTGGATTGTCATTACACTGGAGTAATGTTTGTTTTTTGATGTTAAAAGAAAAGGTTTGAGCTTCCTTTACAGACTCATTCTGAATATCATCTGTTTGACACAAGCTTGGCAGGACGATGATAGCAAAATGTAGTTGTATCTTGAAGCTGTGAAGGGTTTGTATTGTTATGAATGCAGTAGAGAAAAAAGGGAAAGAAGAAAGTGTTGAGGAAATAATTTTGACGGGTAGGGGTTGTTACAGCTCACTGTTAACTTGTGGATGGGTCATTGAAAAAGTGTACATTATGAATATTAAAATGTATTCAAGACAAACCTTTATTTTTATACAGTAAAGTATGAGAGCACATGAGCAGAATTTATAAATAATAAATGTTGAAAGTTTTATGATCTGGCTCACTGTCAGTGACTTATGAACCTTGATGGATTGTATAACTACTGTGGACTAACTGGTGGCCAAACGTGCTTATTCATACAGTAGGCCTAAACTGTGGACATTAATGTGCAGTGTGCACTTGTATCCTCCATATTTATGTTCATGGAAAATGCTTTGTATAATATTTTCAATTAAATTACAAATGATCAGGTGTGTATGTGTTTATGTGTGTATGTGTGTATGTGTGTGTGTGTGTGAGTGTGTGTGTGTGTGTATTTTCTAAAATGTCTGTTTAAAGTAATTATGTCTGTCAGATTCACAGCTTAGAGGTGCACTGACTCAGTTTCTTATTTCTGGAGTTTATAATCAATGTGTCTATTTATCAGAAATCAAACTTGGCCATAATGAGCCAGTAAACGTAGCCAAGAATATTGCCATTCATATTCACTGTAACAAATATTTAATGAACTATTTGTGTAGCTTCCTCCACTACATTAATTTTTTTAATTAGATGTGATAGTGCACAACCTAATCAATGGTGACACTGAATTCAATCTGTTTCTGTAGGTCAGTCAGTCACTACTGAAGGTTTATTCATCATCTTAACATTGCAACTCAGCCACCAGAGGGCAGCAACATCGCTCTATTTAGGAAAGACAGGCAGAGAGACAAGAAAATGAACAAATCGGAATATTGAGTCACTGTTAAACTGAACCCTCTACTGAAAACCACTTCTCTGATGCAACAGGTGGTTTTTCTGACAATCCTAGTAATTAATATTATGTTTTACACTTGATAATACCTGAAGAGTTGAAGGAGATTATGAGGAGCACCTTTTCAGACAGCAGACTGCATCCAGCACCATACCGCAAAAGGACAAGATAAGTGTGACTTTTTAACAATTTTAACTTGCCGGAAAAAATAAAAAATAAAAGTGTGTGCATGAATCTCATAAGAAAAATAACTGATTATTCAGGGACATATTTTTATTTATTCATTTATTATGTTTTTCTTGTGTTGACTCAAACTAAAGTTGTGTTAAGTCTACTTGTTAGGAGAAATATGCACCATAGATCCATCTAACTAGAAGCTGTTTTCAAATTCATCTGCTGAAGTTTCTCTGTACTAACCTTATGTCTCAGTTTAACATGTGGACGTATGTAGGATTATGGGACATCACAAGTGCCAATTGTGGAGCCAGTCATGGTCCAATATACTGTATAACTTGTGACAAAGCGTTATCTGGAAACCTGAAGCCTCCAGGTCACACACACTGAGAATGGACTTCACAGTGAAGTAGGAGACAACTTGTTTGTACAAACTTTCAAATTGCAAAACAATGTTTGTATATTCATAGATTCTGGGTTTTTCATTGAGAAGGAGTAGATGTCATTAAAAAAAATTTAACTCATCAATTGAACTTTTTTTTGTGGCAAAAATACACAATTAATTATTCCAACTGATTATTTTTATGGTAAACCGGCTGCACTCTCAAAATGCTTTACAGTACAAGCCACACCCGTTCACTCACACAAGCATATAGCACTTTTACTATACCTCCAGCACTTCGATATGCCGACTGGAGGAGCTGGGGATCAAACCACCAACCTTCTGATTAATGGACAAACCATGCTACCTCCTGAGCCACTGCCGCCCCTAATATATATATGACCTGAAACATGTCTGAGGGATTCTTTAAATACATTTGAAAAGTAGAGAAATATTGAACAAGGGAGCATGTGCATGTTCAAGCTGAACATATTTGTTTTCACCTACTCACTATTCTACAGATTTGTCTTGGTATTTTTATATCCACATTGTTGCCCTGAGGCAAGAAAAAATTACGATGCATTTTTTATTAATACACTATCAGAATACCAACATCTTTCAAAAAATTGATTGAAGAATATATTTTCTCCAAGAAAAGATAATTCATATATCTTATCATTGGTGATCAGTGATGATCATGTTACCCAATAAAAGTGTAAAAGAGGCACAAGCACACATGATTTGGGTTGAATGTTTATTAGAATTTGCGATTAGCGATGTAACATTCACCTACATGGCGCAAAGGAAGTCATAAATATGCTAATATGCAAATATGCACGCCTTTATTGGAATGAGCTCATCTCATCAGGGGATGATATATCCAAGGAAACTCGGTGATACACCTGCACGTGGCTAAACAGGGTGGGATGCACAGAAGCCTGTTGCTCTGATGACGGTAAATAAAATAGAAAATCAGCAACACAGTTTATATCAAATATTTAGATACAAATGAAAAGAAATTACAAAAAAGTCAGAAGATATAAGACAAAAAGTAAAAGAAACAAAAAAAAACTGCTTAGTAATGCACTGCACCCGTAATAGTTGTTTCTTTTTGTTCGCATGGAGCTACAGTACTAAGTTGGCAGAAAAAGGTGCATGGCTTTTGTTTTTCATCTGAAACAGTACAGGAGGATGATCGGTTGTGGATGCAGGATGGCATTTCATTTCTCTCACTGTGTAGTCCTCATGAATCAATGAATAAACAACTGTGGTTAAGAGATCAGTGTATGAATAAGACTCAAAACTTGGCAACACTGAAATTCTGTTAGAGGAAAGAAAGAAAAAAGAAAAACAAAAAAAGGAAAGAAATTAAAGAAAAGAAAGCAGTGATAACATCGTATCCCTGTACCAAAGTGGTGTTGTGATCGTTAACAACATGTCATGCTCCATTAGTGAAGTCCTTTAAAATGGGATTGCCCATCCCACTTGTTTAAGTATTAAGATGTGGGTCTAGACCTGAATGTAATGTGCAGGGAGGGAGAGGGTGAGCTCAGCAAAAGGCAGTAGTCATAGTCGAGGTGAATACGATAATGTCGATGGTGAGGATCCATGGTTGATAATGGTAAAACAGGGGATGTCATGCAGCTTGGGGCCAGAGGCGAGGAGGGTTGGAAAGGCCCTCGGGGGAAGATGTCTCCATCACGTTGTGGCCCCTGGCATGCTGGTGCTTTAGGTAGGACACAAGACTGGAGAGGAGAAACAGTGGAGAGTAATGTTAAGTTACTGTGAGACAAGATACTGTATAACAAAGTTACTTTACTATAGTGACTCTCACTGGAAAATGAGAAAGTTCGTTTTCACATTAACTGAATATACTATTTATATTCTAGTTAGAGAACATAACCTTGTGTGTTTGTTTAATTCTTGCTTAAATCTTCCCCCGTGTTGTTGTGTTTACCTTTCAATATGTAGTCAGTTAGCAGTGTAGGCACCTTCTCACTGTCCTCCTTCATGGCATAAAGAACTACAAGGAAGAAATACAAAATGTGTCAGCTGTGGATATACACTTTTATTTGCCGGTCATAATTATTTCCGTGCTGGACACTTACTTTTTGTCAGCATCTGCAGGTCCTCAACAGATGGAGGGTCGCTTTTCTTCTCATATGGAATTACTGTGTTTAGATACTGAAAACAAAGTCAAGGTTCAGTGGGTTTAAAAGGAAACTTGGACATTTAACATTCAAGTTAACATGTAATGATCTGGTGTTAAAGCAGCTTTCTATCACTGGTGATAACAGAACTGAAACAAAGGACTAAAAGCAATATTACAGCATTATGTGAAATAAACCTATTTGCTATCTTGCCCATCACTATAAAGCTGCAAACATATTTTCTGATGTCTATATGTTACATGTATGTTGTGTATGTCATATATTATGAACAAATGAACTGTTTAACTAATTAAATAATTTGTGTACACTGCTGTCCAATGTCTAGTGTCATCTTGTGACAGTTATGTTTGTGTTTTTGTGTTAGCTAAGTGCAGCAAGCAGCACAGTGTCCAAAATGCCTTTTAAACACAAAATCGGATTTCAGAAAAGTGGTGGAGGATAAGGTTGCTAAGCTACTGTGGTTTCACTCAACAAAGCGAGGTGTGGTCCTTGTAATGTGTCAGGACATATTTGTACATTTAGATCACATTTGTTTTAGAACTACACCATTTTTGACTTTTGACCTTACCTGTTTCTCATTCCCTGTGCTTCCAAATGTCTGTCTGATTCCTGTCTGCAGGATGCTGGACAGTCCCTCCATGCTGAAACGCTGCAGGTCACGATACACACACACACACACACACACACACAGAAAGAGAGAACATTATTATAAGGTATTGATCATCTGATAATTAGTGCCTTAATTGAAATAACAGACTGAAATCTGAGGATAAGTCATTATTTAGTTCAAATCCAATACGGACCTTTTGGCATCACTCACAAACCATACTGGTGATCAACACTCAGTCACTGTGAGATACAATTAGTCTACCTGTTTTTATTGCACCTGCATCATTATGTCATCTGTACATTTACATTGCTTAAGTGAAGCAGCCTCAGGTACCCAGGAGTCATCAACGCTGCTGCTGTGTTCACATGGAGGGAAAATCCATTAGGTTGTTTCTCTGTTACTGGACAGGAGCAGACTGGACTGGGCTCTTACTGTATGAAGACAATGGGTCACCTCCACTTTAGGATCTTTCCTGGAAGATACTTTAGAGGCTAATGGACCCAAGATCCATTATGCTAACAGTCAGAGGAAGGGAGGAGGGAGAGCTGTCAGGAACTGTGGTTTCACCTTTCTCTAATTTACACTGGAAGGATTAAACATGGACATGTATATTCATAAGTAAATCCTAATGGAGGCAGATATGTACATTTTGGCATAGTTAACTCTGGTGTAGTGACACTGGTGAGAGCACAAGCAACACACACACACACACACGCATACACTCATATAATGTAAATAATTACAGTGTATATAAAGCATATAAGGCCATCCTTCCATCACTCACTCTCACCTTGACAGGCATGCTCCCTGTCTTCTCCGTGCGTGCCATGGAGCCTGTGTTCCCTCCGTTCACAGGTTGCGTCCCACCCCCCTGCAGGCTCAGGGCCTTGTCCCGGCGTCGGCGTTTGCTGCTTTCCCGTTGCTCCTTCTGCCTGTTTTGCACTTCCATCAGGGCCGTGATGAACGTGTTCTTTACCTCTTTCTCAAACTCCAGCTCGTCGCGCCGGGCCAGCTGGCTGACCAGCTCCTCTGAGTACTCGCGGATGGCAGCCTCCACCCGGTGCAGCAGCTCCACCAGTGCTGAGCTGGGCATCAGGCTCAGGCCTGTACAACAGATGAATGTGGAGAGACAGTTGGGCATTATTTTGCATGAAGTATTACGTATTTCTTTACCCAGAGGTTCAGACAGAATGCTAAACATATACAGACTGTATGATATACTAAGCTAATCACTGTAGGTAGTTCATTTTAAGCAACAGAGCAAAAGTGAGAATCAGTCAGACTCAAGCAGGACTCCATCAAAAAACTCAACATTTATTGTAAGACTGTTTGGTTTCTGTGACACTGTGTTAATATCATTAAATTACAAAGATAAAGAAGCTGGATCCCTTTTCTTTTTCACAATATCAGTGGTTCCCAATCCCAACTCTTTGTTGTTTTTTACCCCTAAACAGAACATGGTATCTTTGTATGTTAAATTGTGGGCAGTAAAATCACAGAATATTTTCCCCTTGCAGATTGTTTCATTTGAATAATTTGAGTCATCAAAAATTTGAGAAAAACCTAAGAACTGTGCATATTGTTTTAGCAGGCAACCACTGACGATCATAATGTAATGATGACAACTTGCTGCATAATTCTTTTTATATAATCAAACTTAGTTAACCAGTTAAGTCCTTACTCAACAATCCATGAGTGAAAATGAAGCCAGAGGTACATCAGAATGAAAATCATGTGTGACGTTATACACGCCAACATTGGACAAATCAAAGTATTTACACGGGTGTGTGTGTTCTGCAATGTTTAGTCATGTTGTTCCCACAGTGGCCAGGACAAATGAATGCTCAGAGGAACCACATGGATCTCCAATCTGTTCAGCAAAGGGCTGCCTTATGGCAGGGAACACTGCCTCATCTTGACCTATGGACCTGCTGAAATGATGTGACTAATCTAACCATGGGGATTACTAAATCAAAACCTGATGTGTGTGTGTATGTGTGTGTTTATAGGGGGGCATCCTCTCCAATTTCTCCCCAAAAACAAGATTTAGGGAGAGAGAGCGTAAAGTAAATAACTTGTTGCATAAAATGCATAATTAATGCAGTTTGTGCATGATTGTTGTCATAGTGTCCATGCACTCATTATAACTGGCCTTTATGTTAGGTCTTCCATAAACAGGGAATATGATGTGTTGTAATGTCTCACTATCTCAGGAAGGTCTCAGCTTTGGTATTTTATCGCTGCTAGTGACATGCTTAATTGTAACCTAAAAGGCAGCGAAAGACTGATCATCCTACTAGCAAATCAAGCAGTTTCTTTGGCCACAAAAGATTCACTTTTACATAAGCAAGACTACATGGATCAGTGTTTTGATAAGAATGTTGCCTGTTCACATCCCAGACCAGCTGAGAAACTCCTGAACAAGTTACTCAGCTGCTGACCAAGTGTCAGTCAGTTGGGAAGTTGCATTAATAAAAAATAAAAAATATACATTTCCAGTTTTACCTTCGTAGGAGCAGTTGTTGTTGGAGGCCTGTGACAGCTGTCTGATCTCCTCCAGCAACGAGGGGCTAGTCCTGGAGGAGCAGTGGCTGCTCTCCTCCTCATCCTCCTCCTCAGTTTCGCCAGGATCCGGAGAGTTCTCCATCATCTCAACTATCTCCTCAATGACCTTGGTGAGAGAGAGAGAGAGAGAGAGAGAGAGGAGAGAGAGAGAAAGAGAGAGAGAGAGAGAGAGAGAGAGAGAGAGTTAGATGGAAGGATATGGGGAGACAGGTGGATGGACAGGAAAGTGATCAGGAGACAGGGCTAAGAACACACATATCCATAACCATCCATTTGTCAGTAGAGTAAACAAAAGCCATATCATACTTAGATCCATTATTGATGTCTTCACTCGCTGCAGCAGTGAAGGCCAGCTTAAGTTGGATTTTAGCATCTGTTACTAGCATGATGTGAGAGGATTCCAACAATCCACACTGTCATACATGACATGAATAGATTTGATGGACATGATAAGGAAAATAACTCCTCCAAACTAAGCAACAAAATACATCATAGGTCCATTTCTTCCCTAGAACGACACATAGAAGTGGTTTCTGATCTGACGCCTCTATAAGCAGGACAAGATTAATGTCTTTGCCTTCCAAAGCTATTACAACTCAGGAAAAATAAATCAGTTTTATGATTGTACAATGTTACAGTTAAGGTTTGGTTAAGGTTTTCAAATTACAGTGCTGCTTTGTTGAGGTTAGGAGACCTACATCGTCATGGTTACAATAGTGAACACATGGTTAAGGTTAGGGAAGGATTGTGGAAACAACAACATTGACTCATGGTAGGAAACAGGGAGAGTCTCAAGTCTCAATTAAGAGCCTTTCCTAAACCAGATTGTAAGAAACAAAGACTGCAACAATACATACAGTGGTTTGGGACATGTGGTAAACATACACATGAATCCACATTGTTAATCCATGTAAAGATTACCTGACTGCAAGACTATGACCTATCAAAGTGAAATAGCCACAACCAACAATGCAAAGATTGTCTGTGGAGTTCCACAGGGGTCAATTCATGGTCCTTTACTGTTTTCAATCTACTGCGCATGCTATTCTACCAGCAGTTGTTTTGACTGTTATGCCTATGATACACAGATACATGTGCACTTTATGTCCTGCACACATTAAGCCTTGGATGGCTGGTAACTTTTTCATGTTTAGCGCTGATAAAACAGAAGTGATGGTGATTGATCCTAAATCAAAGAGCTTCTATAGCATTGATTTTACATAAAGACGGATGACATGACAGCTCCCTAAAAGTGATTGAGTGTGATTGACTCCTGATTGGGTCGGATTGGATACCATGGCTCCACTACGCACTCACTACAGCGCAGACTCCAAATGACGTCACCAACACAAGATGGGTTATTTTGGCTTAATTTTTTTTACAGCTGGAGTTGTCTTTATCTAGAGTCATTGCTCTATAGTCTATTTGGGTTGCACTGTGTAAGGAGTCTCTGACTTGAATTTCTCCAAACATTATAACAGTACGTCAGGTGTCTCTCAGCTTGAGAGCATTGCCCAGATTAGATCTTTTCATTCATTCTGTGATGGATAAACCCTTTTTCATGTCTTTGTCTACAGCCATCTAAATTACCAGAACTCCCTGCCCCAGAAATCTGCCTCCAGCTCGTACAAAATACAGCAGCTCTAACAAGGTCTAGACAGATTGAGCATATTTTCACCATTCTGACCTCCCTGCACTGGTAACCTGTGGCATTTTGGAGTCGACTTCAAAATTTTACTGTTTGTCTTAAAGGCTCTGACCCATCGTACATTATTGACCTTTTCACTCTATACACCACTTGCTGAGCAACAAAAATGTAAGAATCTGAATGAAAAAGGCAGATTTATATACTTCACAAATATCTAAAAGGGTAATTATAGTAAATCCGACAAACAAACTTATTATTTTTGGTCCTTTTACGCCTTTATTGGATGCTCGTAGTGTAGATTGACTGGAGTGAGAGGAGGGAATGACACAGCAAATGGTCTGGCTGGCCCGGAGTCGGCAATTGTACCGACATGGTATGTGGCCCTAACCATTCAACTATCAGGTGACCCCACAGACAAAATTATTGTAAACAAAAATGCTCCAATGTGTGAAAAGTGACAAGATACAAAGGACCCAAACAACACTCTCAGACAAGGCTCATGTTGCCTCTTCTTTTTCTAATGATCGAATGCAGGACACAGACAAACTACTGTTGGATCTTAAATACTCACACACACCTGATCAGCTGTGATGAGAGGCTCCTCATTCAGGCATTTGGCGTTGTCATTCTTCTCGTTCATCTCTTCCTCCTCTTTTTCGTGGATCTGCAGAAACATGAGAACTCAACAACAAAGAAATGGCTACTACAGTATGTCTTACTAAGAAAATAAAGCTAACAAGAGTCCAAGCTGCCTTTCTGCATTGGAATGATAATATAAATCTGTGCTAAACTTCAGACAAGTGTCCCACATTAGTGTGTGAAAAGGAGAGATCAGTCTTATTTTGTAGTCTCATGCTTAAATTATTTGAATGGTTTTACATTATTTAGCATTTCTTAAAATTGTTTAAATAGTTTATACTTCATTTATGTACTTATTTGCAATATTTGACTTTCATATAGAGTTATACTTGATATTCAAGTTAATTGTAGGGATGGCAATGTCAATTGGCCAGTCCAGACTGAAAAATCTCAACAACTCCTCCATTGGAGGGATTGCCAAGAAATTCAATATGAATTAAAATCACTATGTTCCTGATCCTCTGACATTAATCTGGTGCCATCATGAGGTCAAAAGTTCAGTTTGTCCAGTACTTCCCATCAGCCTCAGCTCTACTGTGTTTAGTGCTAATTAGCAAATGTTAGCATCCTAATTTCCTAAACTAATATGATGAGCATGGTTATAAATTATACCTGCTAAACATCAGCATGTTACCTCTATCATTGTGGGCATGTTAGCATTCTGCTGTTTGCATTCAGTTCAAAGGACCTTTATTTCAAATTACAGCCTCACAGAGCTGCTAGCATGGCTGTGGATTCTGACAGGGCTTGGGACAGTGTGACAGTTTATCAAATATTTGCAATCTGCTATTTGCTGAAATATCCAAAGCTTGCAGCAGGCAGACATATTTTGTGGGTCTGGTATCTTAGAAATAAATAGAATAACCTCGTTAGAACAGATAGTTCAGGGCAATGTGACGATGTGAGCACTTATACAATATCTAGGCCTACAGAAAAAAATGAAAATTGCTTGATCTGACTGGTCTGAAGAGGTAATGTCATTTGTGAAAATTCCAACAACTAGAATTAAATTGGAGTTAAAATATGAGAACTGAATGTGTCACAACAACATTCTCCCTCTGGAGCAAAATTGTCTGCTCTGGCCTTGACCGGCCCAAACATGGCCTAGACTGCTAAGTGCCTGCTGCTGGTGTCCAGTTGTATGTGACAGCCAATTAAGGGAGGGGAGGAAGAGGGAGGCCTCTGCTGAATGGCAGACCAGTCAAGGTTGGTCAAGCATGTCTTCAAGTGTCAGAGTGAGATTAAGCCTCAGACAGAATGAACCAGTTAGCTGCTCAGTTTGCCACCTCGACATGAAACACAATGGCAAATTGTTTTGGTCCTTACATTTACAAATTTCTAAAACCATAACATGTTTTGTCTTTAAAACTAGAGGAATAGACAGAAGTGAAGATTATTCAACAAGTATTGCAAGAGCAAATTTCTGGGGTGGTGAGCCTGTTGTCAGGTTCAGACCTGGTATTAGTTTTAATAAAACCACACTCATTTCACCATGCAAGTGGTAAATAAACATCACAGTAGAGCTCAGAATCCATTCATGGTTAATGCTTTTGAGGCAGTTTGATGCCAACTAAATAAGAACAAATTGTACATAATGTTAATTCAACGTTCATATGGTTTGTATAGCAATGGTACTAATCTACTACTCCTAAGGCCATCTAAAAACAATGTAGATCACATATAAGATATAAGTTAGTTGGAACAAGGAATAAACAGGAATTTCAATAAGAGAGAAATTTTAAAACATGTAGTTGACAGTTTTAGGAAGGCAATTAAATTCACAAAATCAAAAAGAAAGTTTACTTATGATATATTATATATTATATTGTTTTTTACATGCCTATATTCTACATTTCCCAGATTTAAAGCACATAGAAATATGTGGATGACATGTACCTCCTGGTCAGACAGATTGCCGTTCAGTCCCTCTGAGTCAGGGCCGTCCCAGGTGGAGATGTAGTTGTCAGTTAAAGCGTCCCACACACTGTGAAATTACACACAAACACATACATGCAAACATGTAAGTAAGGCAACTTTCAAGTATAACAAAAAAAGAAAAGCAAAAACAAAACTCCACTACGCTTTAAAGTCTGTCGTCTGTTTTCAGTTGGTGTATCCACACATGATGCAATTAGACAGTTATATAACAGCATTAGACTAGAGTTCAGTGTGTTTTATCTCCCTGTTTATAAAGGCGGTCTACTCAGCCCTGTCTTCAGCAGCCTGCAACTCAGTCAATATTTCAATGTGACAAGTTAATGATGGTGGTCAATGTGCAGAGCTGGAGGCTGCAGAGGAACAATGCACAACAGAAAAAAAGCACAGCTTACTACTCGTGAAAAGGTATCCTTAGCAGAGATTTAGATAAAGCTTCTCACATCATTGTGCCAGTGGTCTCTGACTGCAGCCGGAGCAAGTGTCTGTCTGAGTAGGAATGACATAAAACTGGAAGAGAAGTGTCCTTTGTCCCAGAGCCTTTGTGTTTTTTCCTCCTCCAGTCAGAGGTTGGTTCAGGCCTGCTGCCCTGCTCCCAGTGGCACTGCCCACACCCAGTCACACAGTGGACGCCATTGAGCTCGCAGCTTACCTCACCAGCCAAGTCCGCGTGCCATGGGTGCACAACAGCACAAAGTTTCAATACACTTAACCCTAAAATGAAAACTAAGTAATAAAAAATAACTTGAATGAAAATATAAAATGAACTTTATTTTAAAAAATGAACTAAAGGAAATGTATACCAATATATTTAGATTTAATTTTGTGCTAAAACTGACTACAATCCTCTGTGAACAGACTATTGTTTGGCCACCATGTATTCAAAGGGAGGGCAGACACATTGAAAACAGTTGGCAGATAACACTAAGATTACTGGGAGATGCAGACGCTGGTATGAATTGCTTGATTTTCTGTTTTAACTGCATTTATGTGCTGCTGAGTTTGAAGATTCATATATTTAGCAGCATTAAAACAAAGTTTACATTACTCAAGGATATATCAAAAAATGATTGTATGTAATACACAACACAGCTGATAATAGAATCATTACATCTTTAAAGGCCCTGCACACCTGTGTGTTTTCACGTCTTCTGGATGATTAGAGCTGTGATCAGACTGAAGGGTTGTGCTGGGCATAATGTGAGGCCAGCTTTAGAGTTGCTGCTAGGTGGATTTTGTTTCCTTTGGACAGAGCTAGGCCAGCTGTTTCCTCCTGTTTCCAGTCTTTATACTAAGCTAAGCTAACCGGCAGCTAGCTGTATATAGCTTCATAGATAATGGACAGGCATTAGGGTTGTAACATCTTCTCTTGTGTCTTGCATTATTTCCTGTTTTATTTTGAAATACTTGTTTCCCGCCCTTGATCAGCCACACCTGTCTCCAATCACTTACCTGCCCCTGCTGTTTTAGTAGTCAACCCCGTATACTTCCCTGTTTTCCCATGCCCCTTTGCCAGACGTTCTTTGTTCCTTCCTTTGTTCATACCTCTCTACCATTTTTTCCTTGTGTTATCTCTTTCGGTTTTTGACTTTACTTGGTTCCCTGGTTTAAGGCCTATGCATTGCCTGCTTTGTTTGGACTGCCTACCTGTGTAAAGACCTTTTTGATTATCAGTAAAGACTGTTTGAACCCAACCCTCTTCCTGTGAGTCTCTATTTCTACCATTATTGTTACAACTCAAGAACTAGGTGTAAAGAAATACGTGTACTTCCAAAAATGTCATTTTTTTTCTTCAAATGAAAAAACCAAAACACATAAGTCAAACCATAACAACACATGAGGAGCACATACTGCCTGCATAGCACAGGGAAACGGTTTGGTCATCTGGACGGCAGGAATTGGAACTCCATGTTACAAAACTGTCCTGCTGTGTTTGTTGGCCTGCAGCCACCGAGGAGAAATCATTCTGTTTAATATTCTAGTTCTCCATCATCAGCTTGTTGGACTCACTCATATCTGGGTTTCTAATCAGGCAACTGCAGGGATTAAGCCAAAATGTACGACAGACTGTTTTCAACCAAACAGCAGATTTAGCTTTGAATCGGACTCCATCCTTCACTGAATACAGATGATTTTTCTTATATTCCATAAGAAAACAGAAGGTCCTCAGTGTTATAAACATCAGTATGGTCTTGCTTTATACTTGTGTGTGAGTAGTGAATAAATATTGAGTGGATGAGACTCACTTCCTGTGAAATCACAGCATGGATTGTTGATGCAAGAATTGTTATGAAGAAGAAGGAACAATGAGACATTGTTAATGGGACAAAGAATCCAGAGGAGACTGGACCAGTTGGTTTGACTGGAATAATATTTCTGTACTGGTTTCCTTATGGACGCCATAACAAATCAGTGTAAGGAATTAGGTTTATGTCTTGGTCTTAACATGCAGATTAGTGTAGTACTGTCAAACTCTAACCACCCACAGTCCCATATCAGAACAGGAATACAGACCCATTTTTACCAGCAATTTAGTATCGTCTGAAAAATCATGTGCTTCCTTTCCAAAAGCTCTCCTCTCTTACACCTACGATCAGGCTATTTTTAGCCTGATTCATATCCACACAGTGTGAGGACGTCTGTGTTTCCACCTCAGAGCCTGCGAGCTAAAGGAGGAGGATCTGGCAGTCAGCTGGTGGAGAGGCAGAGACAGACCCACAGAGCCAAAGCCAACTGATGCATACAAAACTGCACAATGAATAATTCAGCACGCAGCCTGACTGGTGAAGCTGGGGAGGGTGGGGTCACGCTGTTGATTGACTGGTTGTTTGGGATGTTGTGGTCTATGTGTGGAAATATTTTGGCTGTTGTCATGTGTGTCGCGCTGGGCTGCCGAGCCGCTGTTTTGGCCATGAGTCTGTGTTGTAGGTGGCAAGAATGGCAGCATATTGAGTATGCCAGTGTGTGATTAACATAAAGGGCTGGAGGAGTAGGTTCTGTTTTATGTGTGCTGAGAGTCTGGCTGTTGTATTTCATTATGTTCCTATATTTGTGTTCCTTTAATATTATCCTGATCGCCCTGCAGGGTGCATCATGAAGCCCAAATGCTACAAAATACAGCATTTTGTTAAAGAGTTCAAATAGTCAAGAAAATACAGTAAATAAGTTTTTAGTTCAGTTATCTGAAGTCTATGAGTCAATGGAGCTGAAAAACATAAAGATATTTTCTGTATGTTAACAAAGCTGCTCATTGTTATTTCCAACTTTGCAGCTTCTCCCCAAAGAATCCTAAAATACTATTATTTATTTTTCTTTGCATCTTTAATTATTCTTCCATTTATTTCTCTCTTGAGCTCTTTAATTGTTTTTTTTTTTTTACTTTTTTTTCTAGTTGTCTATTGCTGTTGTATCTTTCTATTTTAGCGCTGCTAACACTGCTCCACCTCCTCCATCACCTTCTTTGGATTAATGATGACCTGGAGAAGAACTCCACCTAACTCACTTGAATTCGGCCTCATCTTAACATATGTGCCTATCCCTAATGACCAGGCCATCATGGTTTAGACCTGCGATGGGCCAGGACCCTCCTGAGGGTCTGGGGGCATCCCAAAGCTCATTTTAAATAAAAATTAAAGATGATATTGATAGCAAAAGTATGTTTGTTCTCTCTTTTTCTCCCTCCAGCAAACCCACCGTTCTAACCCAGATACAAGTGTAATGATCTCTCACTCACACATCTATACACATGCACAAAACATGCTGTGTCATCCCAACCTTGAATCCATAACCAGGTATCACAAAAACCCATTTTGTTACAACACTGGAATCGCTGATAAGTACAGGATATTAGAAGTAAGTTTTGGTTGTTGTTGTTCGTCTGTGATGTAATATGTATGTTTCCTGTCTCTGCTCAAATATCTAGCCCTAAAAATAAATAAATAAAAATCACAAAATACTGATGAAAATGCTTTTTAAAGTTTTTTTTGGGATTTTAAGTGTTATAAGTACAACTTATAATAATTCAGCCTCCATTACAACCAAGTTGTGCACATAGCAGGCTTGAAAACGGATATTAACAGATGGCTGCTCATGAGGGCTAAAAGCCCCAGACAACTGGGCCTCATAACAGTTCATTACACAATATTAAAAGTGGTCACTCACTCTTCGTCCTGCAGTCGCTCCTCATCCTCCTGGCTGTGTGACTGGTTGCGTATGGGCGCCAGACCCTCCGTCTTGGTGTTGTAATTGTGGAAACAGACGTTGAGTTTCTCGTCGAACTCGTTGACCAGGTCCTCCATCGACTTGAAGCTCATCATCTCAGAGAAGTTCTCCAGCTCAGAGAAGTCCTCCCGGGTGATGGGGGCCAGGGGAACAGTGGTGGTGGTGGGGGGCGGGGAGTAAGGGGAGTGATCCAGTGCTGGATGGTCCAGCTCATCCATCTGACAGGGCCGGAGATCCTCAAACTCCTCATCCAAACACACGAGAGGGGCTTCCATGGTGTCCCCCGTACGGTTAATGTCCGAGCCCTGAACAAAACACAGCGGTAGTGCAGTGTTTAACAGTGTTTAATGCATCAAGTTTGCTAAATCAGCACCGCTTATAAAAACTGATGCTGTCAGTTTCTCTTAAGATCACTGCAGCAAATGTGTTTAAGGCAAAGACCAGATCAGACTCTATCTGTCCCCATCTGGTGGATTTACCAACATCCCAGAAGGATTTATATGGCGTCTCCTAAATCACGCCTGCCTCACCTCAGGTGGACTGGCACCATGTAGTCTAGACAAAGGAGGGATGGAGGTTGATGTGCCAGAAGGGGACCAGGTCCCAAAGGAAAACCCAACCAGTTGGCTTTACTGGTAAACCACAGTTAATTAAGTAGTTCTACTGGGACTGAAGTGATGAGGTTTCCAAGATTCTGGGACATGAAATTAGAGGAGGATTTGTCAAAGTACATCATGTATTACAGTAAGGCTATTTTACAGTGATGGGAACGGGTTTCTTTAGGGGTTTAGATGCTAAATATCTGGTGTAAAGATGTATTTACTTTAACAAATCGTGTCGTAAAATGTGTCAGATAATTATAATGCTGCTCTGAGAACCGTTTCTTCTACTCATCATTCAATGTCAATGCAACCATCTATATCAGTTTTAAACATGGGTACATTTTACAGCACTATCACACCTTTCTGACCACCTCTGCGTTTCTGAGACAGACTTCAGAAAGTTACCTCAAAATATATTTGGAGAGGTAAGAAATCTTAGGTCAAATATAGCATCTTCCAAAGATACAGGGAATCAGGAGGCCATGGGAGTTCCATGGTTGTATTTTTGGTCTTTTGTTTTCATTTTATTACATCCCTTGTGTATTTGGTTTAAGCTGTAAAATAAGGCAACTCGATTCACCACTGAGGAAAACATAATCAAACCTTGGTGCTCACAAGAATATATTCAAATATTCCCTTTTAAAATTAAGACAAAAAAAATATGTCAAGTTATCAAGTTCAAGTCCCTATTAAGTTTTCATTCTCCGTTTCCTTTGTTCACTGGTTTTTCTTTCCCACAGAGGAGAGGAAAGAGTTCATCCACTCTGCTATTTTATAATTAAGGTCTTAAGCACATGCACATGCTGTTCCATGGCAAGACTGATTTACCTAATCTCTATATTTACCAGTGAAACATTGCAATTTATTGTTTAACTCCTCTTACAAACAGTTAACACCAGACCGTTTGGAGTGAGGATACACTCTATACCTTCTAATGCCTCAATCAACTGGAGTAGAGTTTGGAAAACCATTATACTTCCTCCCAGAAACACTGCTCTTTAAAGTGTTGCATTATAAAAATATACTACTAATATACTAAATCAAGTTGTTGGTGTGTGTTATGTTCTATCGGGACATATTATCACATGGTTTGGGAATACCAGGAAGTCTCTGTGTTTTGGAAAGTGGTAGGCCTATATATAACAATACAGTATTCCTTATTTCCCAGTTGTCCTACTCTTTCATTACAAATATTTTTTAATATGTCAAAATTACGACAAAGAGTGAACCTCACAATCTGACAGCGACAACAAAAACTGCTTATTGTTCACTCTCATCAGAGCAGGGAGCAGTCAGGAAACATGGGGTTCATGTCTCCTGTAGTTAGTGCTCACTTGTTCCTACTAGAATTCATCAAATTATCTTTAGGTTTCGCAGAATATACTAAGAGAACTCAAATCACTGTAACTGTAGAAAAATGACGCTGGTGATCTTTTTACTTGACCGTTATGTGTGTAAAGGGTGCAGTCCAGCAAAAAGAAGCATCACTCATTCTCATGGCGGACGTAATGCTGCAGTCAGACTTTTCAAAGAAGTTGTGCTGCGGTCAGGCCGTCCAACGCAGAGTAATTACAGTATTGAGACCTAAATTTCATCCTTTGTGCTTTGCTGGACCGTGGCCTGGCCTAAGTGGGTGAGCACAGAGGAACAAGCTTGTGCAAGCCTCTTCCTCCTCACCACACCACTCAGCAAAGTGCTGCTCCGTCTACAGCCGGATATTGTTTTCCACAATCTCATCCTCTCTCTGTCTCTCTAGCTGTGTTTTCCCTCTGTCTGTCCCTCTGGTGTGTTTTTCTTTATTAGTGTTTTTCAGCTGCATTCATTATTGGCTTAAAACTCAGTATTTCTAATTTGGTAGCAGAGAAATGAAGTACTCCTTGCCTCCTTTACATGACAGTGACTGACAACTTGTGTCTGTCAATAGATCATTGACTCAAGGCCGTTAGGTCTACAACACAAACATGGAAATTAGCAGCTGATTCTAACCTTGCCACAGGGACTCTTTGCAGGATGTAGTGATGCACTGCTGCTTGAAAAGTTGGCATCGTGAAAAATCACAAATTCAATTTCCTAATAGCACTTTCCAGTCATCCTGTAGCCTTTCTGTTTACTGCCATGTCCATTTAGCAAGGCGGATGTGGAAAACGCTGGAATATTTTTATTCAAACATAAGTGAGGTGTGAAATCACAGCATCTACATTAGAGCTGAAGCAGTATGAAGCAGTAGGGGGTGTGCGGAGGTGATGTGCAGGTGCACACTGTACATACTGAATGTCTGCATAGTTCAGGATGTGTGTCAGCCTTTTTTTGTATGTGACCTTCACAGAGTGGTGGTGGTCTCAGGTGTATGCCCCTCCTCCTCCACAAGGATACAGGTATGAAAAAGAGCCATTCACAAGAGATGAGGTCATTTAATGCAATGGAGCCAAATCTCTTGCCCCGTTTTTACTATGGGGAGGAGGGATGACTACAACTATCATACCAAACAACAAATCAATTTGATTATTAAAGCATTTTTTTTATTTTGTCTGTGACATGATCATGGCTGTCACATGCAGACAGTGGTTTAATATTTAATATTTTGGAGAAGAACAATGTCAACACATGCCAAATGCTATTAAATTCAAGCCTGATGTGTATCAGCGATATGAAATTAAATTATTGCTCATATCTGATATGGCCTTTAGCTGGCTCAGTGTCACATAGCAGGTATTTATTCATATTCTAAATGAAAATACCTTTTAAACAATTCAGTTTTTGTCCTATGTGAAGCACGTTTGACTCAAATCAACATTCAGGCAGAAATGGAAATCATTCAATCAGCAGGTCCAGGTCATCAGCTCATTAGCGGAAGAAAAAAGAGGAGTGTGGGGGAGGGAGAAAAGAGCAGTGAGGAGAGAGGACGGAGGACGGAGGGATGGAGGAAACCATGGTTACAAGGCAGGGATGGAGGGGAGATCATGCTCAGCTGTAGGACCTCAGAGGGGTCATGACTGAGCTCGGGTATGGAAGAATGAACGGCAGGATGACAGGTAGAGTAAGAAGACGGTTTACCTGCAGTGGACGAGCCGCTGTTTGTTATGGCTGCGGTGTGTAGGCAGGATCTTCTTAGACCAGGAGAATCTGTGCCTTCCTTCGCAGCGACAGATGAGCAGCAGCAGTTACATTCATTCCAGTGTGGAAGAGAGAGAAAAAATATGAGGGGGAAGTAAAGATGGCAGCGTGGTCTGAGCTTTGGTCTGTATCCCGTCCCTCACCCGTTAGCCCACAGCCACCCTTGTCTGTCCTGTCCTCCCACAGCCCGTTGTTTTCCAATCAATAGACATCCAGCCCAGCTCACACGGAGCCTGCGCACTGCCAGGCCTCTGACGATATCAGCTCCCCCCTCCCTCCCTCCTCCTTTCTTCCTTCACTATCCTCTCTGTCTCCCTTTGTCCCTGCCTCCCTCCCTCCCTGCACGCATTAATTCCCCAATATTCATGAGAAGAGAAGGAGGAGGAGGAGGAGGAGGAGGAGGAGGGGCAGGAGGTTTGGGGGATGGAGGTTCTTTTGCAAGGTAGCACATCTGCCTACCTTGTACTTGCACGTCACCAGCTTTTCCCCTATTGTCTGCTAATCGTTGTACCATACACCTGAATGGAGTAACTAGGGAATTTATTATTTTTAACTTGTATATTTGCACGGGGGGGGGGGGGGGGGGGGGCGGGGGGGGGCGGCGACGACACACACGACATAATGAGTTGATTTAACTCAATCTACCTTTCTCCTATAAACATTATATATCTGCTGTGGGAGACCCTTCTAAAACAACTCCATTCAATTGAGTTCTATTCATTTATTTAAATCATTTTTAGCACGCAATCATAAAATACATTATCTCAAGGCAATTATATATATATATATATATATATACTGTGTATAATAGAAAAGAGAAGGAGACCAGGAACAGCTGTATATACTGTTGTATTCAAGCACTGTCAGACTGATGATAATAGTGATACTTAGGTGTGTTAATGCTATTAATAATAACAGCAGCAGCAACAATAGCAGAACCAAATACTACTACTACTAATAATAATAATAATAATAATAATAATAATAATAAGATACACTCTATACCTTCTAATGCCTCAATCAACTGGAGTAGAGTTTGGAAACCATTATACTTCCTCCAGAACACTGCTCTTTAAAAGTGTTGCATTATAAAAATATACTACTAAATACTAAAATCAAGTTGTTGGTGTGTGTTATGTTCTATCGGAGACATATATCACATGGTTTGGAATACCAGGAAGTCTCCTGTGTTTTGGAAAGTGGTAGGCCTATATATAACAATACAGTATTCCTTATTTTCCAGTTGTCCTACTCTTTCATTACAAATATTTTTCTAATATGTCAAAAATTACGACAAAGAGTGAACCTCACAATCTGACAGCGACAACAAAAACTGCTTATTGTTTCACTCTCATCAGAGCAGGGACAGTCAGGAAACATGGGGTTCATTGTCTCCTGTAGTTAGTGCTCACTTGTTCCTACTAGAATTCATCAAATTATCTTTAGGTTTTCGCAGAATATACAAGAGAACTCAAATCACTGTAACTGTAGAAAAATGACGCTGGTGATCTTTTTACTTGACCGTTATGTGTGTAAAGGGTGCAGTCCAGCAAAAGAGAAGCATCACTCATTCTCATGGCGGACGTAATTGCTGCAGTCAGACTTTTCAAAGAAGTTGTGCTGCGGTCAGGCCGTCCAACGCAGAGTAATTACAGTATTGAGACCTAAATTTCATCCTTTGTGCTTTGCTGGACCGTGGCCTGGCCTAAGTGGGTGAGCACAGAGGAACAAGCTTGTGCAAGCCTCTCCTCCTCCCACCACACCACCTCAGCCAAAGTGCTGCTCCGTCTACAGCCGGATATTGTTTTCCACAATCTCATCCTCTCTCTGTCTCTCTAGCTTTGTTTTCCCTCTGTCTGTCCCTCTGGTGTGTTTTCTTTATTAGTGTTTTTCAGCTGCATTCATTATTGGCTTTAAAACTCAGTATTTCTTAATTTGGTAGCAGAGAAAATGGAAGTACTCCTGCCTCCTTTACATGACAGTGACTGACAACTTGTGTCTGTCAATAGATCATTGACTCAAGGCCGTTAGGTCTACAACACAACATGGAAATTAGCAGCTGATTCTAACCTTGCCACAGGGACTCTTTGCAGGATGTAGTGATGCACTGCTGCTTGAAAAGTTGGCATCGTAGAAAAATCACAAAATTCAATTTCCTAATAGCACTTTCCAGTCATCCTGTAGCCTTTCTGTTTACTGCCATGTCCATTTAGCAAGGCGGATGTGGAAAACGCTGGAATATTTTATTCAAACATAAGTGAGGTGTGAAATCACAGCATCTACATTAGAGCTGAAGCAGTATGAAGCAGTAGGGGTGTGCGGAGGTGATGTGCAGGTGCACACTGTACATACTGAATGTCTGCATAGTCAGGATGTGTGTCAGCCTTTTTTGTATGTGACCTTCACAGAGTGGTGGTGGTCTCAGGTGTATGCCCTCCTCCTCCACAAGGATACAGGTATGAAAAAGAGCCATTCACAAGAGATTGAGGTCATTTAATGCAATGGAGCCAAATCTCTTGCCCCGTTTTTACTATGGGGAGGAGGGATGACTACAACTATCATACAAACAACAAATCAATTTGATTATTAAAGCATTTTTTTTATTTTGTCTGTGACATGATCATGGCTGTCACATGCAGACAGTGGTTTAATATTAATATTTTGGAGAAGAACAACTGTCAACACATGCCAAATGCTATTTAAATTCAAGCCTGATGTGTATCAGCGATATGAAAATTAAATTATTGCTCATATCTGATATGGCCTTTAGCTGGCTCAGTGTCACATAGCAGGTATTTATTCATATTCTAAATGAAAATACCTTTTTAAACAATTCAGTTTTTTGTCCTATGTGAAGCACGTTTGACTCAAATCAAACATTCAGGCAGAAATGGAAATCATTCAATCAGCAGGTCCAGGTCATCAGCTCATTAGCGGAAGAAAAAGAGGATGTGTGGGGAGGAGAAAAGAGCAGTGAGGAGAGAGGACGGAGGACGGAGGGATGGAGGAAACCATGTTTACAAGGCAGGATTGGAGGGGAGATCATGCTCAGCTGTAGGACCCTCAGAGGGGTCATGACTGAGCTCGGTATGGAAGAATGAACGGCAGGATGACAGGTTAGAGTAAGAAGACGGTTTACCTGCAGTGGACGAGCCGCTGTTTGTTATGGCTGCGGTGTGGTAGGCAGGATCTTCTTAGACCAGGAGAATCTGTGCCTTCCTTCCAGCGGACAGATGAGCAGCAGCAGTTACATTCATTCCAGTGAATAGAGAGAGAAAAAAATATGAGGGGGAAGTAAAGATGGCAGCGTGGTCTGAGCTTGGTCTGTATCCCGTCCCTCACCCGTTAGCCCACAGCCACCCTTGTCTGTCCTGTCCTCCCACAGCCCGTTGTTTCCAATCAATAGACATCCAGCCCAGCTCACACGGAGCCTGCGCACTGCCAGGCCTCTGACGATATCAGCTCCCCCCTCCTCCCTCCTCCTTTCTTCCTTCACTATCCTCTCTGTCTCCTTTGTCCCTGCCTCCCTCCCTCCCTGCACGCATTAATTCCCCAATATTCATGAGAGAAGAGAGGAGGAGGAGGAGAGGAGGAGGAGGAGGGCAGGAGGTTTGGGGGATGGAGGTTCTTTTTGCAAGGTAGCACATCTGCCTACCTTGTACTTGCACGTCACCAGCTTTTCCCCTATTGTCTGCTAATCGTTGTACCATACACCTGAATGGAGTAACTAGGGAATTTATTATTTTTTAACTTGTATATTTGCACGGGGGGGGGGGGGGGGGGGCGACGACACACACGACATAATGAGTTGATTTAACTCCAAATCTACCTTTCTCCTATAAAACATTATATATCTGCTGTGGGAGACCCTTCTAAAACAACTCCATTCAATTGAGTTCTATTCATTTATTTAAATCATTTTAGCACGAAATCATAAAATACATTATCTCAAGGCAAATGTATAATATT